GGTTTCTCCCCTGTATGGATTCTTTGATGTGTATTCAGATGACCACTCTGACTGAAGCTCTTTCCACATTCCTCACACTTAAAGGGTTTCTCCCCTGTGTGGATCCTTTGGTGTGCACGTAGACCTCCGCTCTCATGGAAGCTCGTCCCACATTCTAGGCATTTAAAGGGTTTCTCCCCGGTGTGAGTTCTTTGATGTAAACTAAAATTACTGCTATATTTGAAGCTCTTTCCACATTCCATGCATTTATATGGTTTCTCCCCAGTGTGGATTCTTTGATGTGTGCTCAGGTGGCTTCTGTGACGGAAGCTCTTCCCACATTCCTCACACTTAAAGGGTTTCTCCCCTGTGTGGATCCTTTGGTGTTTATGTAGCTCTCCACTCTGATGGAAGCTCATCCCACATTCTAGGCATTTAAAGGGTTTCTCCCCTGTGTGAATCCTTTGATGTAAATTAAAGCTACTGCTCCGATTGAAGCTCTTTCCACATTCCTTGCACTTAAATGGTTTCTCCCCTGTATGGATTCTTTGATGGTTTCTATATGATCCACTGTGGTTGAAGCTCTTTCCACATTTCATGCATTTGTATGGTTTCTCCCCTGTGTGGATTCTTTGATGGTGTCTATATGATCCACTATAACTGAAGCACTTGCCACATTGCATGCACTTATAGGGTTTCTCACCGGTGTGGATCCTCTGGTGCAAATTTAAGTGTCCACTCCGATTGAAGCTCTTTCCACATTCCATGCACTTAAATGGTTTCTCCCCTGTATGGATTCTTTGATGGTTTCTATATGATCCACTGTAACTGAAACTCTTTCCACATTCCATGCATTTATATGGTTTCTCCCCTGTGTGGATTCTTTGATGTGTATTCAGGTGACTGCTCTGACTGAAGCTCTTCCCACATTCCTCACACGTAAAAGGTTTCTCCCCTGTGTGGATCCTTTGGTGTGTACGTAGATCTCCATTCTGACGGAAGCTCGTCCCACATTCCAGGCATTTAAAGGGTTTCTCCCCTGTGTGAGTCCTTTGATGAAAATTAAAACTACCACTCTGATTGAAGCTCTTTCCACATTCCATGCACTTAAATGGTCTCTCCCCTGTTTCGGTCATTTTGATTCCAGGACTTCTCTGCCGCCCTTTTTTGGTCTTCTTTGATTTCCAACGTCTTTTTTCCTGCTTCTGACTCAGTTCTTTCCCGATTGTTCTTACTGTTCTGTTCTTTACCTGAGTGAAAAGGAAGAAAGAAATCTTATTCCTAGTTCAGAACAGAAATGGAAGACATCAGAGATTATACCCGGTTTCATCATCCCCAAGGCTCCTTCCTTCCTTCTTTGTACCCTCGGCTCAACTCTGTTTCCTTCAGAATAGGATACCCTTTCCCAAGCTAAACTCTTTGATTCTGGGACTGAATCCTAATTCCCTGAAGGATGTCATGGAACTCCAAGAAAATAGAAGCTTGTGGTAAGTGAATCAGCCGGTACTTGATCACATGGATATGGGGGTGCTCCTGTATTCGTTTATCTGGTTTAGTCATCTTCTCCTCAGCTGCAAAGGTTATCTGTCCTATCAGTTTTCTAACATTGTACCTTATGAAATAAGAATGAAATTCTCAAATGCTTCTATACAAATCTACATCTTCTCTGCATACGCAGTTAATCACTCTCACAGTAAATCAGCTAAGGCAGTGGTTCTTAACCTTTTTGAAAGAAACGCCCCCTTGAGCCATTGAGGAAGGTATCATCGCCCCTCTCCCTACAGTGATGATATCTTATTTATTTATTTATTTATTTATTTACTTACTTACTTACTTACTTACTTACTTACTTACTTACTTACTTACTTATTTATTTAAGACACTTAAATCCAATGACCCCTGAAAACAAAATTCAATTCCAAGAAAATGAAAAGCCCCCAAAAAGTAACATTTAATGATTTAGTTGCAAGCGAATTTTAAGA